TGAGAGCTACCATAAGGCATCCCCGAGGCAGCAGTAATCAGTGTGAGGAAAATAAAATTGAGTTACAAGTTTTAGCTATTTGCATGGACTCAGTTATGGGAGGGAGCTTTAAATCTAGAGTGTGAAGTGTTGGTGACTAAACAACTTACTCTGTATTTGGTGTGAGAATCTGTTCTTTTGTATGATTCAATGAATTAGAAATATATTTGCAAAAAAGAAGTTTTTATTTGCTAGCCTAGCAATTCGCATTTACAATATCAGATTTGTGACTTGAGAGGTTCCACTACCATTAATATACATCTATACATATTTTGCTTTGATATTTTGTTGTTTCAAAAAAAGCTCCAAAACATTGTTAAAAACAGAATGCTTATGACACAGCTGACCTTACTTTCCCACTATGAATTCAGCTTGTAAATTACATCTCATTTGATAAACTACTGATATAAGATAAAATTTAAAGCTTTAAAAAATAGGTTCATGGACTATAATAATTGTGTTGAATGGTGCAGGGAAGTTGTTTTATGGTAGTAGATCACCCTGATTTTCAGAATAAAGACAAATTAATTAGATATCATTGATCTATATATGTAAGAGAGGAGTGTATTAATATTAATCAGATAACTTGTCTAAAGTCAGTGTAGAAACACAGTATTACTTCATCAGAAAGCATTTATTGAGAGATCCTAGCTCAACATTCATTTAATTTGAGCTTCAGGAGCAAGGTCTTTGTAGCATGGAGTTCTCTGGATTTATTAAAATTTTATTGCTAGAGTCTCACTAGCTTGGTGTTTTTGCCTTGTTCTGGCAGTATGGCAAAGCAGAAGCACCTCTTCCGAAACACATAGGATTGGATATTTTTTTCAGAATTGCATGTTCAGAGTTAGGCAGAAGAAAAAATTATAATTCTTGATATCTAAAAGAAAAATCTTTTATCAATCATCTGATCTAAGCTTATTTCTGCATTAGTACTTTCTATACAGCAGTGTCCATTTTTTGTTTAGGTCTATCAACTTCTGAATTTGTTGCTTGACATTAAATCACAGTTATTGAGAGCAACCTTTAAAGTCTTCAGAACTGCATAATCTTTCTCTGTTCTCAAAGGTTTTTGTTATTCTTCATCATATGCTTGGTGTGATTTTGATGAAGCTGGATTCATAGGGTCCCCCAGGTCACTAATGAAAATGGATAGCACAGAACACAGTGCCAATTCCACTGAGCCCGAATTAATGTATTGCTTCTTCTTTGGAAGCTGCACCATTGCTACTTATTTGCATCATGGTCTACCAGCTATTTTTTATGTCTGCTATGATATTTTTAACACGCAGTAGCTCTCCAGTCAGCAGCTGGGCAGTGCCTGGTTTTGTACAGGGACAGACATAGGGTGCCTTTTAACAAATACAGAAAATCCTTCAGCTCCAGTTAAGTCATTTCTGCTTATTAACTTCTTTACCTAATTAACCATTTGAAGTTATTTTTTATTACCTTATCAATAAGTATACTACTTAGGTTTTGTTTTGGGTTTTTTTTAGATTATCTGGAAACTGCACAAGAAGCTTTATAATTTGGAATGGCTTTTCGGTGATATCTTAGAAAATTAATAGAATACCAGAATAAAAAAAATGCCTTTTTTTTCTCCCATCTATATTTTCAGAGAAAGTCAGGCTAGCAGAAAACAGGAAGCTAGAATCTATCACTGTAATTTGTCTCATAAGGTGTGAAAACCCCTCTTTGAAGAGCTGCTCCAATAAGTAGAAGGTGCTGAAAGAGGGATTGTTCTCACATGAGCACATGGTGGTTGAAAGACCAGTTTTGTAACAGATGCCATGGAAAACAGTCACTGTACTCCCAAGAGGCATCAATTCATGTCCTTCCTTTGGTATACATATGTATGTAATCATAACATTCTTCAGGAACTCAAAACCATGTCAGAGCAACAGTTCTATGTCTTTTGCAACAATCTTGTTATTGAAAGATGCCTATCAAGTGAAGTGGAGTCCATTATCTCCTTCCCCATTCTTGGCATTCTTGTGGAGAACTAATTTCTCAGCTCGCCTGTTGGGTTGATGCTGCACTTCACGGACACTGAATACTCTACACAGAAATATTGTTTGACTATAGGAATAAATTATTTATTGTTCATAAATTTATTCAGGCAGTTTATCCTGTTCAGCAAGACATTTAAGCACATTGCCTAATTGAACTTTTGAGATGCTTGAAACTAGTTACAGGCTGAATCAGTATCTCAGTACTTAGTTGACACTGAGTATGGCCAATGAAGGAATAAAATTTAAATCATCTTCTATTGAAAACATCTGGTGATATTCTAGCCACTTCTAGATATCTAATATTCTCTAGTCCATGTGTACTAGTCTAGGCTTATTTACTGTCTTGAGGCAGAACACATCTTGCCAAGGGATAGTGGTCCAAAAAGGCCTGTATCTGTACAGGTACTATAAGCAGAGACTCTTGATTTTTAGCCTAAATCATACTCAGTGCTTGGAGACAGCTTTTTTTCTTTCCTTCAAAATGAGGTTAAATTTAAAAAATTATCAAAGTTTAAATGAAGCACTTAAATGAATGCTTTGTATTTCAGTGATTGAGAACCAGCAATGTTTTTAGTAATATGCCCTCATGCTGCTGCCCTCTTGGGATTTGAGGGATTTTCTAATGCAAGCCATAATGTGTAATTCATAATTAGTAGCTGGAGTTCTGAATCTGCCTGAGCCAATGAACTAATTTTAATTTCTAAAAATATATGTAAAATATTGTTTTATGTTAATCCCATATATGATAATGGCTTTTGGAAAGCAGCTTCATAAATCTAACATAAAGCATGAAATTGGGTATGAATTAACATCTAGTTTAAAGAAATTAGGGTGAACAGATTAATTTTGAAATACTTGAATGACACGTGCTGAGCATATTTACAAATGTGTAACAAATACACATATGCTTGTGTATCTGTCTGTCTTTTTGGTTATGCACATTGCTGAATTTCAGGGTGTTCTTTAAAACTCCATCTGGAATTGTGCATGTCTCTGTGTGCATCTGTGCAGATATTTATGTCTCTCTGGTATCATAAAGAAATGACTACAGGATAGATGCCACAATTATTATTTATCTGCATTTATAATTGCCTTGGAAAAAATTTGTAGGATGTTTTGGTTTCACACTGACAGATTTCAAATAATGTAATGCTCTTCCATGCAGTGCATAAGAGCAATAAAAATAACGTAATTAAAGCTTCTGTTTGCCCAGTTTAGTTGTCAAAATGCATCTGTGAGTTAGATTAAAGGAAAAGGACTTTCAGAAGAACAATAAGTTACTAATTATACTTAAGAGCAAGCTGAAAATTTTCACCTTTTCTGTGGTCAAGCAAGATAATTTTAAATTATGTATTTTAAGACACTAGTTGATGTCTCAGGATAACAGAGTGAATACTACAACATTTTTTTCATAACTTTCAGCAATTCATTTTGGGTGGTTTTATGTCAAAAGTCTCTGCTGTAACCAGGTAGTCAAAATCAACCTGAACATGAATGGAAAATGCCATTTACTATTTTTTTTTTCTCAGATTAGAACTCACTGTGATTAGCTTTTCATGTCTGATTTAAAATTGCCCTAGAACTGAACCAAAAATCAAGATTTTTCATTTGCTGGATGAGAGAATACAAGCAGGGAGAAAAACAGTTGTTGCTTACCTCATCCAGAAGAGTTGGAGCCTTATTTGGACCTTTCTTCTCTTTGGTTTGCTCAGCTGCCCCATAGCATAAGTGAATCCTCACTTCTGTGCTGTGTTGCTTTGCAGACCCTGGCAGGGACCTGCTCAGGGTGGAGGGGTTGGTTTCCTAAGGTTACCTCTTAACTAAACTACTTCTGGGAAAATGGGGCGATCAGTCTGTGGCAAAGGACTGTGTATTGTGATTATTAACCAGGCACTGTAAGTGATTAGGGGGAATCAACTGCCTGAGCTTCTCCTTCCCAAAGTTTGGGAGTACTTAGATAAGCCATATTTATGTGTCCATGCCACAGGCATATATTTAATAGAACAGAGAGCAGCAACCTTGTCCTCCCTATCCTTTTAGCTTCTGTGGCCCTTTGCGCTGGGGCTACCTAAATTCTCATTGTGGTCCAGCATGACAAAACCTCCAGCAGCTCAACCACAGCTGCCAGAGAAACTGGGAAAACAAGTGATGCTCAGCCTCTGACAATAGTAAAAAATAGCCAACACTGTGACATTGTGTTGGGGCACTGGCCTTTGTCTCATGACCTTTCTATTTTAAAATGTTATGGTCACTTATATAAATCAGTGAACCAATTCAAACCAGTTCAAATTTTTTCATCTCTTATACCGAATCATTACTGGACTGACCCAAAAGTAAGTCATAGATCTGTTTCAGTCACAGCAGTGCCTAGATGCTAATTGCACTACACATGTAAGTGGTTTGACTTCTTTCCTGTGACCCTTCATCTGTGGTGGAAACCTGTACTGAGCAAGTTACAAGAAGCTGAATACATACTTTGGTTGACTGACAAGTCATCCACAAGGATCCTTCTAAGGAGTGTCAAAGCAAGCACAGGTAATGCCATTGTAAGTCAAAGTCATAGTCATAGTACTGACTGCAGTTGAACACACTCAGGATCTGCAAAGGAGCCTGAAACATTGTCTTCAAATTGCATTTAAGAGCAGTTGGAGCTGCTGAATGTTAGCTCTTCCATTTCTTGGAGAGTTTCCATTTTTATGGAGTCTCTAGGCATTAGTATGAAATTTCTGCTGGTAGTATTTGTACTGTTATTACATAAGGATGAAGTTTCAGGAGAGTATTAGCTTGCCCTTTATAATAACTACTTAATTAATGAAAACAGTGTATACCAAAGAACATCAGATAGTAAAAATAACAGCTGATGAACTTTTCCCTTTAGTCCTTTCACTTTCAAATATTTAGTTTTGTTATGGACTGAGTTTATGTAACAACTTAATTTTGTATTTTTCACAGAAATGTAACCTGGAATAATTTAGCTATCCCAGACACCCACTGTTCCAGAGAGCTAGAAGAAGGTTACCAATGCCCACCTGGATTTAAATGCATGGACCTTGAAGATCTGGGACTAAGCAGGCAAGAGCTGGGCTACAGTGGCTTTAATGAGATAGGTCTGTCCTACTGCTAAAATCCATTTCAGTATCCATTTAAAACTGTTTTTTAAATGAATGGAGCAGATAGTTCATGTCTGTGCTGAAAAGACATCAAGTGCAATCAGTATTCTACTCAAGTAGAGCACCTGCTAGAAAGAGAAGCTGTGCTATTTGCTTTGCAGTTATCATATATTTTTACATTGCCTGGGATCCCAGGATTTGGGATCCCAGGCAATGTAAAAATTTGTAAAGAGTCGAACTGTTGATTTTATAAAGAGTCAACTGTTGGTTATCACCAGTATGCAAATGCAATGACTAATTTCTGTTTTATTTTTTATTAATTTTAGAGCATAAAATCCCTTCTGTTTGTCTAATTTTAGTAGTAATTTCCATGAAAAAAATTCTTTTTTATCCAGAATTACTTTGATATTCATCTTGTTACTAAGCAGAAGATATGAGAAAAAATGATATAATGTATCTGTGTCAATCTTGATCTAAACTGTCTAAGTCCGACCATCAGCCAGAAAAATGATTGAGTCTGGCAGATTTTGCAATACAGGTGCAATTTGTGTTTTGTGCAAAACACTGCAGTCACCAGGAGAATACATTGTCTGACAGCTGCAATGTATTGTGCTGTCCCCATGAGGAAATGAGTGTAGAACACAAAAGCATGAAAGGTGGCAAGAGCATGGGCAGCTGCGGTAAGATCCACATTCAAATGGAAACTATGCAGTTACTCTGTCAAAACATTGTGGTTATTTCACATTTATTGAGAAGACGAAGGTTCAACAGAAGCCTGCAGCTGCAAATTTTCATTTCAGGACAGGTAGGGAAGTACCTTCAAATGACAGAGCATACCCACAGGTTGAATTCTTTCTGATGCATCACTTTGACTCTGATAAAGGGTTTTTTGGATTGTTTCTGGTTTTTTTTCATTTTTCTGGCTTGAGCTCCAGACTGTTATCCTGGCCTCAGCTGAATTTGAAGGTAATGAAAAGCTTTAATGACTGAAATCCAAAAAAGTTTTTTTGAGTATTGAAAGCCCTTGTAGCTCAAATTGCTTCAGTTGGTTTCTGAATATTTAGGTTTCTGGATATACACAATGAGCCACGGAGTTTTAAGAAAGCCTCAGAGTCCTGCTACAAGTACTCTGGGATACCAAATAATTAATGAACAAAAGCTGCCATTTATGTCCTTTCTTTTTACTTGTGAGTAAGGGAGAAAAACCTGATTTCAGCCAAGCTACGTTCTGTTCCCTCTGCAAGTCAGAAGCATACCCTTTGTTCCAGTACTGTTAGATGGATAACACCATAGATAGTACCAAATCTCCTATATTTTTTTCTTCTGTAGACTTCAAAGGATAATCCTGTATTATCTCTCAGTCAGCCTTCAGATTTACTGTCATGCCTGGATGAACATGGGCTGAGTTCACACTAGAACCTAAAACCATCCACATTCAAGTTCTGTAGTTCCTGGTAGTTTGGGAGGAGAGCATGAGATAGGGGTATTGCCAGAATAATTAGACCTCAGATTGAAATCACCCTTCTTATCTTGTTATGAGAAAAGTATTTTTTTGGCATTGAAGGGTGTTGTTCAAGCTGCCCACGCAGTCACCAGGGAAAACTAGTTGCAGTGTCTTAGACAAGCTTCAGTGGGTAGAAGAGTTGAACGATGCCCAGAGTGCTTAATAAAGGACACCAGCTTGTTTTTAATGATGGGGCCAGGTTGCCAAAGACAGATGAAATAGTTTGTCCATGGATGCCTTCAAAACAGGTTAAAAAAACAGGACTGAAACTCTGGTCTCTTGAGTCACAGTGTTATGCCTTATCAACATTTATTTCTGAGTATTGCATTTTAAAGGTCAGAGATTGCTAACAAACCTAGGAGACTGATAAGTAGTTTTTGTCTAGAAATAGGGAACCAGAATAAAACACCCCTCAGAACAGTAGCCAGAAGTTAAATATCAGTTGAAGGCTGATAACTAAACTTTAAAATACTGGATAAGACACAGAAGCTTTCCCAAAAAATATTAAATAAGCTTCCTCAAATTAGGATTGTTATGAACAGGATTATAACCTGCAAGTTCATCAATATTTTATAAATATCCATTTTGTGATGCATCTTTTTGTGTAGTTAACGAGTAAGTAATTAAATAAATATTTTCTGTGTAATTATACTATTTTTTTGGTACATTCATTGGTATTTCATTTGCAGATATTGTGATGCAGCCTGTCCTGTTGGATCCTCAAATCTATCATTACAAAAATCACAAGAGTGTAGCAATTTGGCAGCTACTGTATAATTAGTAACTCTTAATTTGTGGCACATAAGTACAAGCTATGAATATTTGCATTTGATAATTTCTGTTATTTTTCTTCTCTTGAAAGTAAAAAGGAGGGATTTTTACAGTTTTATTACTGGGTGAAGACCAAAGTGTCCTAATCAGGTAGAACTTATCAGAGTTTTTAATATTGTGAATATGCCAATTAGGTAGCTTCATATTTGGAAAACACCTTGATTTTGGCCATGCTCTGGTCCCATTTTTATAAGTGGCTTTGACTTTAAAGGATGAAGGTTGGAAAGATGATAGTGTAAGTCTTGGTACTCATTTAAATAAACTGAATATATTTATTTTTTAATTTTGAGGTGTTCTGTTTATCTGTTTTATGTATGTTTCCATGCAAGTATATACGTATTGTTTAAGGAAGAACATAGTTATAGACTACTGATAAATGTAAAGTTATCTTGTCAAAATAATTTAGGCCATCTCCTGATGAGAAGCAGACTTCATAGTCTTTCCAGGCAACTTATTGTGTTGGTTCATTGTCTGTCCTCTAAGGAGGATTTTCATAAAGTATAACCCAAATCTTTCTTCTTTATGGAATTTAAGATCATAATTTCCCACCTTATTCACTACTGACATAGACAAAACCTTAAAAAAAGGCTTGTCTGCATCTTTCATTATGCCTTCCATATGGTTCTAAGTGTTTCTAAATGTATGGTCTTTTGCTAGAAGACTTGGATTTTATACCTTAAATTGATCTTACTCTCCTTCTTTAGACCTTCTCTGGCTGATCCACCAGCTAGCTGAAATGCAGTACTGTCAGAATACCCCAGCAGAGCCATTATTTTATCTGGTTTTAAGCTCTGCTACAATTTCTACATCCCAGTGAGATGTTTTCCTTTTCCATGTTTTTCTAATTTATTACAGCCCTTGTGTCCTACTGAAAGATCTGCCATCACTGTTTCCCATCCTTTATTTGTTTATTTATATATTTATTTTAAAATGTAAACCCTTGCATTTGTCTCTGTTGAATAGCATTATTATTCAAACTTACTTTTGTTTTTCCAGACTATTTCTTAAATTTGCAAGATCTTAAGGACTTTTAATTCTCTCCTCCTGATTACTTGTACCACCTTTTAGTTTGCTTTTATCTGAAATGACATGAGTATAATTTATTTTCTATCGACTTGATCAAGAGTAAAAAAATTAAATAAAACCAGGCCAAGATTAGGCTCTGGAACTTTGTTTGACAGCCTTCTTTTCTGACAGTGTTTCATTAATAGCTGCTTGTAAGGAACCTAACAAATGGTTTTGCACCCGTCACAGAGCAATGTCGTCTAGCCATATTCCTGTGTGCTGTCATTGTGAGACAATGTTAAAAGGCTTTAAAAGCCTATTAAAATATGTAGTGTTTCCTTTCTCTTTACAAAACTTGCCTCCATTACACGTTTGTACAGCAATGATACAGGAAGATTTGTGCCATAGGCTCTCAAGTGTCTGCACCCTTTAATGTACATTAATAACATGGTACTTACACAAGATGCTTGTGAAGATCATTTTTCCAACATGGGCCACATCAGTATATATCTACAGCTAATGCCTCTGTCCTTTAATATGCATATTTATAGATTGCATGTAGAATTAAATAAACACCAAAGTATTACCTTAGTATTAGTATTGCCAGCTTTGCAAGTGTAATCTCTAAGAGGGAGTTATACTGAAATCCAGGGAAGTTCTGTCTGGCAGTACCTCTGGAAAAGTTACAAGCAAAAGTCACAGAAGTCTATCTCATAACTGTTCATGAAACTAAAGAATTAATGACGTATGAACCAATTAGCTAAGTTAGCCAATTTAGCCAGTACCTCTAATCCTTTTGTTAGGGAAGTTCTGAAATGGTAGGAATAAATAGTAAGGGAAGAATGACACCCATCTAGGTGAGCTGACTTCAGCTTCATCAGATTCCACCTGATGGGAGGCTACAGGAAGTTCCTGCTTTCCCACAGTAAATTGCTCATGAACTCAGTAGAAACCCAAGTACTCCTTCCAACAGTTAGACACAGAGCTTGACTTCTTAAGTAGGTGTTGTTCTTACACAGTGTGAGCCTTAATATAAAATTGAATCTTTTATTCTTTAGGATGCCTGAAAGATTTTTGGAATGCTACCTGTGGGGCTGAGTGGAAGTAAGAGAAAGGATATGAATGAAAGGCTTGGCTGGCTGTGTGGATGTGGGTAGCAAAATCCCTTACTATTGTCTATACCTGTGTGGTACTGACAAGCTCTTCTCTTTCTCATACTTCTTAGCTGGTTTTGATTTGGGCTTCTATAAAAAGGTTGATGTTTTCTTCATCTTAGAACAGCCTTCAGCCTTGTCTCCCACTGAGAGAATCAGGTACATTCACAGCTAGCCTGTTTCTTCTTTTTGATTTTATTCTCTTCTCTGTATTTTTCCTAGCAATGTTTAATTGCACAAGGTGTAGCTGAGAGTGTGACAGTATTATGAAGTGTGTAAAAGAAGTTAAGCTAAATATTGAGAAAAATTACTTTTCTTGTGAACAGACACTACTAATTGTAAAAATTATTAGTCACAAATACAATATGATAGTATTTGTTTAAGTATTTGCATCTGATATACCTAAAAAGCATAAATATATTTGTTGAATTAAATGAGAGCATACAAGTCTTGAGAATTGGGGGGCTATGATAAGTACTTCTACCTTACATCTCACTGTTTAT